ACTCTACTGCTCTGGTATGTATAGGCTACAGTGGAGTTGAGTGCAGCAATGGGGGGCAGTGCACTAATGGGACATGACATCTCTGGGTTTCACACAGTTCAGCTGCCGGGGAGCATCATTTACTGATCCATACCCAGATAACGAATAGCAAGGGCATCTGCCGAGAAATGGGAGCAATGCTTGAACTAATCAAATAATAACCTCCGAAGCAATGACACTTGTTTGTGGGCCATGTTTGTGTTGACAACAATCCAGTTAGCAACCGAGATAGACACCGATGGGAACGGGAACTAGTCTAGTTATAAGTAGAACACCTGTAGGGGATCCTGATGTAATTCCAGACAAGAGAACCAAGAGGGATATACAGTGAGGGAAAAAAGTATTTGATCCCCTGCTGATTTTGTACATTTTCCCACTCACAAAGATATGATCAGTCTATAATTTTAATGGTAGGTTTATTTGAACAGTGAGAGAGAATAACAACAACAAAAATCCAGAAAAATGCATGTCAAAAATGTTATAAATTGATTTGCATTTTAATGAGGGAAATAAGTATTTGACCCCTCTGCAAAACATGACTTAGTACTTGGTGGCAAAACCCTTGTTGGCAATCACAGAGGTCAGACATTTCTTGTAGTTGGCCACCAGGTTTGCACACATCTCAGATGGGATTTTGTTCCACTCCTCTTTGCAGATCTTCTCCAAGTCATTAAGGTTTCGAGGCTGACGTTTGGCAACTCGAACCTTCAGCTCCTTCCACAGATTTTCTATGGGATTAAGGTCTGGAGACTGGCTAGGCCACTCCAGGACCTTAATGTACTTATTCTTGAGCCACTCCTTTGTTGCCTTGGCTGTGTGTTTTGGGTCATTGTCATGCTGGAATACCCATCCACTACCCATTTTCAATGCCCTGGCTGAGGGAAGGAGGTTCTCACCCAAGATTTGACGGTACATGGCCCCGTCCATCATCCCTTTGATGCGGTGAAGTTGTCCTGTCCCCTTAGCAGAAAAACACCCCCAAAGCATAATGTTTCCACCTCCATGTTTGACGGTGGAGATGGTGTTCTTGGGGTCATAGGCAGAATTCCTCCTCCTCCAAACACGGCGAGTTGAGTTGATGCCAAAGAGCTAGATTTTGGTCTCATCTGACCACAACACTTTCACCCAGTTCTCCTCTGAATCATTCAGATGTTCATTGGCAAACTTCAGACGGCCCTGTATATGTGCTTTCTTGAGCATGGGGACCTTGCGGGCGCTGCAGGATTTCAGTCCTTCACGACGTAGTGTGTTACCAATTGTTTTCTTGGTGACTATGGTCCCACCTGCCTTGAGAACATTGACAAGATCCCCCCGTGTAGTTCTGGGCTGATTCCTCACCGTTCTCATTATCATTGCAACTCCACGAGGTGAGATCTTGTATGGAGCCCCAGGCCGAGGGAGATTGACAGTGCTTTTGTGTTTCTTCCATTTGCGAATAATCGCACCAACTGTTGTCACATTCTCACCAAGCTGCTTGGCGATGGTCTTATAGCCCATTCCAGCCTTGTGTAGGTCTACAATCTTGTCCCTGACATCCTTGGAGAGCTCTTTGGTCTTTGCCATGGTGGAGAGTTTGGAATCTGATTGATTGATTGCTTCTGTGGACAGGTGTCTTTTATACAGGTAACAAGCTGAGATTAGGAGCACTCCCTTTAAGAGTGTGCTCCTAATCTCAGCTCGTTACCTGTATAAAAGACATCTGGGAGCCAGAAATCTTTCTGATTGAGAGGGGGTCAAATACTTATTTCCCTCATTAAAATGCTAATCAATTTATAACATTTTTGACATGCGTTTTTCTGGATTTTGTTGTTGTTATTCTGTCTCTCACTGTTCAAATAAACATACCATTAAAATTATAGACTGATCATGTCTTTGTCAGTGGGCAAACGTACAAAATCAGCAAGGGATCAAATACTTTTTTCCCTCACTGTAGGCTACAGTCATGTAGAGGCTTTTGTTAAAGTGGAACATTTCACTCAGTCAGATCTATTCACACCCATTCCTGGGCCATATTCATATAGCGTCTCAGAGTAAGAGTGCTGATCCAGGATCAGTTTGGCCTTTTAGATCATGTGAATATTATATGGACAGGGGGACCTGATCCTAGATCAGCAGAATTATGAATACAGGCCCTGATTTACTCCACATCTAGTGATGACAAACGTGCCGTGCTTGTGAGGGTGGACATTTCACTCTATAAAAGTTTAGACCGTTAACTCTGGTCCAATTATGCCATTGAATACTCTCGTAACTAGGACCGAGTCAATGGTGTTAATAAGAACCCTGAACATATTTATCAACACAGTAATGATGCCACATACCCATCCGTTTGAGTGTCTTTAGAAAACCCATGCCACATTACCAATCCATTTGGATATTGAACTGAGTTTGGGTAATAAAGTGCTAATAATAACAACTGACAATGGATGGCCTTTGTGAGATCTTGGATATTTTTCCTGAAACGATTTCAGGCTCATGTACTGTGTGACTCAACTGTGTATTATAAAGGGCTACGTGTGATTCACCCTTCATGTTCATTACTTTGCGCCTACACAGGTTATACTGGTACAACAGATGATCCGTTGATGTCCCTATTTAGGCTGTTGTAATGGAATCTCAAATCATGAGCTGTGTTTTGGGGAATGACAATGCCTGTAATTCAACCATGGACATAAATATATTCATCATTGGATTCAACACAAGAGTACGTAGTCAGATTATTTGAAAAAAATAAAAAGTAGATCAAGAAATACTCATACACAAGTTGTTCGATAAACCTTTTTAATCTCAACAGCAAATTAGCTTATGTGTGGTCAACATCAATGGTAAATATAAAATTGGATTTTCTAACGACAGGTGTTTGTCAGCAGGAGGTGCAATTATGATACTGAAACACATCCACTACTAATCTTCATTATGTTCTTTATATCTTCTGCTATTACTTAGAAATATTGCTATAATACTTTTTAAATGGCATATACTGATTGACCAAAAAAGCACTGTCAAGAAGCTAAAACCAAGAAGCTCCTAACTCCACATGGAGTGGTTGTACAGCGAAACTTCTGAGGGGACTTTGGTTTTGTACCTTTGTAAAACCTGGGTCTACTTATTTCCGGAAAGGATACCCCAAAATAAAAACAGAACGGAATTAAAACGAGAAATAAATGCTAAAATATTCTAATCTTAATTCAAAAAGAAAAAAGTAAAAAGGCACACTGAACACTTCACGCTCAACACAATATTTGTTGCATCTTGAGAGTCTCTAAACCCCTAATTTGTACAAAGCACAATGAACAACCAATAGTGTTATTCTCTCTGGTCTTTCTTTGAAAGAACCAAATGTTTTGTGTCCATTTATTGGGATAAGAGACAGCGAATGGGTCCCTCGCTTTTGTTTTAGTCTCCCGGGGAAGCAGCAGACTAGGCTAAACACCATTCTGACCACCACCATCACCACCTTTCTCTCGCTCTAGCTACATTTCCTTTTTACCTCCTCGTAAAAGTGCTCCAGTAATTCAACTTCCACAGACAATCCTGTAGTCTAGTCTATGGCTGCGTCCCAAATGCCACCCTATTCCCAATATAGTGCACTACTTTGACCAGAGCCAATAGGGCTCTGTTCAAAAGTATTGTACTATTAGTTTTTCTTCGTCAGAGATCTGTACGCTTCAAGTAGATTCAAAAGTTAAGTGTTCATTCTAAGCTTGTTGTAAGAGAGCCATGGTGAAACTTGACTCAATTAATCCAGTGTCGGGTGACTAACGTTCTGTTCTTACATGTCTTATTCTTTTTTTATACCAACCTTTAGGTTAGAGAAACACATACCTTCAGAAACCCAGTAGGTATTTAGGGCTATTCCACCACATCAGCTGCATACCACAGGAGGTATAATGTCACAATCTGGAGATAAAAATCTCACCTAACTCTACACTAGTGCAGCAAACTGATTTGATTGGACTTAACTTGACATTCATTTGAGCTACTAGTGAAGCAAACGGCCTTACAAACTGATTCGAGTAGTTTGTTGGAAATAACTACCCGATTTATAAGGAACATGAACACAAGTCATGTTTCTCTTCATTAAATATTGATTGGAGTACTGTTAGTTTTTTTTCTTCCCTTTTATCCGATGGGATTGGTGGGAGGATTATCTCCTGATTACATCATCACGGTCTACGCGGTGATGAGCTGTCATTGTGGATATGTTGGCTGTGAGTCATCATACTGGAATTCTCCCAAAAAATGTCACGCATTAAAGTACAACTTTCTGGTGAGGAAGAAGCCTGTGCGGCTCCCCAGTCCCAGATGGATATGTTGCTTCAATATTGCCATGATCAAATATTGACTAATACTGCACTTACCAAGCGCGCATCAATTCATTACTTTGTCTCGTTTCTTCGTTCTTTTTTTAACTACGTCAAACACGCAACGTGTTTTTGAGAGTTCTTGTCCTATTTCAGTACAAAATAGCATCTTTGCCGTTTGGTTTGTGCTTTCGGTAAGCCAAATTCCGTTGTGCATGTCTTCCAAAAACGACCAAACTGTGCTAAGTTTTCTTGCATCGTCCAGCTCTCCTTCTCGACTAGGCCGCTGCGGCTGCAGTCAGCTTTGAGGCAGTTGTGTTCCTGTGGAGCGATATCACTTCACATGTGACAGCCCCATCATGGCAACATCCATCCATCCACACATACATACCCAGCCATGCTGGCACGCCCCCATCACCCAGGCAGCCACCAGGCCTGGGTCCTGGCATAGGGCTGATGGGAACAGAGAAGTGGAAAGAAGGGAGATGGGGAGGACTTTGGTAGAAAGGTTCTGAGGTTGGTTCACCACAACAAAAAAATAGTATTCATTGATACAAAAAAAAAAACTTCCCCTTTCCCCTGTACCTTGACCCCCAACTCCACTCCATGACATCTACGACGTAATACTGCTTTCTCCCCACAGTTATACCGGCTTCAGTTCACCAGTACGAAGCCGTGCTGCGAGTCTACAGTCTCCATCATCTCGCTGTCCAGAAAGGAGTCCTGGAGCTCGGCGGGGAGCGCCAGCCCCTCGTACCCGGCAACAGGGGCCTCTCCTGGGCCAGGCGGGTGCGGCTGACCGGGGTCCAGGGGGAACTCGTATTGCTCTGGATAAAGTGCATCTTGGGGGGAGTGGAACTGGCCCTGGTGGTCACACAGCTGGTAGCTGTAGCCCAGGGCCTCGGGGTGCTGGTTTTGCAGCTGGCCGGCCAGGCTGGGGGGCATGAGTACTGGGCTGAGGTGGGAGTGAGGGTGGGGGTAGTGCTGGGCCAGGTAGGGGTCGTAGACCAGGTTGGGGTCGTAGACCAGGTTGGCGCTGGGCTCCATGAGGGGGCTGAGGGCCTGGGTGTAGGGAGGGGAGGCCTGGGAGCTGCCCTGCTGCTGGTGGGCCCCAGCCAAGGCCCCCTGCTGCTGTGGAGGGGCCCCTGGGTCCCCTGGATAGGAACCCTCCACTATCTGCATCTGGTTAAAGTAGGCTTGGAGGTGGGTCTGCTTCTGGAGGTACATCCTCTTCTGGTGCAACCTGAAGATATAGCGATATAGGTTATAGCGACAACCAGGAAAAATAAGATGTCGGTGGTATCTGTTTGATAAGTGTGAATAGTCTAATAATGTACCTATGCTCCTGCAGCTGTTGTTCTAGACTCCGAGGATTCTCCTTACAGAAGAGCTGGCAGCTAGCAGGACTTACATTAGCCATAACACTAGCTTTCTGTAAGGGACAGAGAGGGGAATATGAGGGATTCAATAAATATCTGTGGTTGCAATGAGGGTGACCAATCTCAAATGTGCCATCCATAAACATTGATAGATATAAAATGACAATGAAATTGAGATAAAATCTTACAGTAATGCATACAAACTAACAACATATTATTAGTCATTGTTTTATTGTAATTGATTACTCCTTTAATAAATATGTATATACATATCAGACAGATTGAGTGGTGTATTAATACCTGTAGTCTGTGTGCGAGATATTGTGTCTCCAGGCTCTGTCTTCGGGACAGTAGAGGTTGGGCGCCATCATGGTATAAAGCTAAGTTATCCTCGTGCTTAGATGCCTCCCCCCACACACAATACACACAGAAGAGTTCAGAGGTTACACTCACAATCTCACTGGGTTACAGACCACCTACGCACACACAAACGCGGAGCAGGGTTTCCGTTTGCCGGTAATTGCCGGCTTTTGGGAAAAAATATCTAAGCATATAAATAAAATGGTCGGCGGCCAAATTGACTGGGAGAAAAAACGATCCCATTGAAAAATAATACTTTTTATTAATTGATGGAAATAGCAGTCGATGGAAATACATTTGACCGTCATGCTTATCGGCCTGTAGGATATTTGCCAAATTTTGTGGAATTAAATTTGGGTGTGTGTATTGTCGTTATGTATCTTATTTTTCACATGAGCACAGCATACAGAGCCTATTTTGAGCTAAATATCACTTGTCAGACAGCACTAGAGCTCCTGTAGCTCCTCAGCTCGTTGCTGCTGGAGTGAAACGTGCTTTTTTAAGTCCAGTCATTTCGCAACAATTCTAAATGCAATCGCATGTTAAACAGTTTTGATCACCATGATTCAAAATAGCTACTATTTTTATTTCTCAGCTGGTAATTGAAGCACGCCTTCCATTCACCATTCAAGTGCATAGGCAACGGTAGGCAGGCTATCAGTGCATCACCCACCACTTTGCATTGTGAGCTGGAGGCAGTTTGCATTTTGAAAAACGATACTTAAATTGTTTGAAGCCTGAACGTTTTACTTCATATTATGAGGCATGTCTTACCTTGCTTCAAAGTAGCCTATAGGCAAAATCCGACCATAGAAACGCGGAGATAGATATTTTATAAAGACTGCCATTGAAACCAGCATTTCTCTGCCGTTGTATTGGTTTTCATATCAACTTTCTTTCGTTGTCCAAAAGCCAAAGGCACAATCCTAGTCATATTAGTAACCCATCCTAGCTGTTGCATCTTTAGATTCCCCTTCTTTCTAAGTTTCTAAGAGATTTTCATCACTAGCAAGGTTTCCATCCAATTGGCGACAGCTTTTCATGAGAATATTCTAAAATCTGCACAAAAACAATATGCAAATTTTCCCACCAGAGATGTTTCCATCAAATTGACTGCAAATATAACGCTGTACATGATGACGTAGTGCACATCAAAATAACTAGTTAAATGGGTTTCCATCGCATTTTTAACTTTACTGATTTTCTCACAAAAATGTTTCCATTATATAGCGAGTGTGCCCACTCTGGTATTGGCATGGGCGCGCTAGCCAACAGCGCTATCTGTGCGCTTTTGTCTAGAGCGCACATATAGCCTACATAATTATTATGGACAAAATAGCAAGATTATTTGTATTTGTTAAACAGCAGCCAAGCATTGATTATCATGCCACCAGAATAAGACCCTCAATATTTATTGGAAAAGAGCATCATGCTCATCACCTTGCACTTCCACCACCTTGTGAAGGTCATCATTCATTTGATCTGTAGGCTAATAAACTGCATGCTTTCCCGACAAGTCGTAGTGTGAGGACCACACAACATGTCATCGTGTGACTCCAAGTTTACTTCAATATGATTATTATATCTTTATTTGCGCATAAAAGCTTTTCCACAGACATTTCTCGCATAATTAATTTTACAGACACAAAAAGAGCCCACCTTGTCTAGCTTATTTTGTTTAGTCGACATTTGGAAATTTTCCATCAGGGCTGTCATTACATTTGTTATCCGACACGTACTTTACTCACATTAAAATGTTGGATGTAAACCTGGTTATAGTCACATATGGAATGGTGTGTTCCCGCAAATTCAATTTTGGCAAATGTTTAAAATGACGTTTTATTGGCTGCTTCATTACTGGAGTTGCATGTTCTGTTAAGAATAATTACCATCATCTAAATGTGATTTCTATCATTCTGAGCACCGTGTGTGGACGCCTTAATGGGTTATGCACCCTTTGCATATGGGTCCGGTGAATCTCTCAGATGGCCGGTAAATAAAAATGTTCCTGGTCACGTTGTCCGGAGCACACACAGCTCCACTGATGAATTAAGTCATTGCCACTCTTGTATACAGGGCCAATGTGTTGTTGTATTGTTGCTGACTGTGTATAGTGATTGTGTGGTAAGCAACTATAGGGACCTTGTTGACAGACAGACATGCTGCCAATCAGCCCTTAGACCACCAGGGCATTGTCCCAAATGGCACCCTATTCCCAATCCCTATAGAGTGCACTATTTTCACCCAGAGCTCTGGTCAAAAGTAGTGCACTACCATAGGGACTAGGGTGCCATTTGGGACGCCACAACCAACCAACCACACAGGCCTTGTGTTTACACGCAGCAACCACTGTTCTAGGGCAAGGGAAATGGATGCACTGATTCACAGATCCATCATGCCGTCTCTCTCGGTCTTAGTGGCCATTGAATTGACTCGTTGTTGCCTGTTTACAAGCAGCAGCCGACGGTGATTCAGTTCAGTCAGTCACAGTCTCTCTCCGCTCTCCTCTCTCTCTCTCCTCTCTCTCATATGACCTAAACAACAATGGCTGCATTCACTCTGCAGCACCAGGGGCTGACTGACAGTCAACAAGGAGACAATTGGCTACCTCTTCGTCCGGACGGAACATTATATAACCAGCATCGTCTGTGATTCACCGGCTGGCTGGCTAACTAATCACTGGGGAGGTCAGGAGAGGTGCTGCTGGGTTAAAACACCTCAAAACAAGACATGGTATCAACACAACGAGCTGAAACGAGCCACCTATGATTCCCCACTTGGCAGCTTCTTGTCATTGTTGCTAACTATCTGGCTGTCTGTCTGTCCCATCCACTCCCGACACTGTGGAGCCAGTACTGACCTGCTGCATGGGGTCCAGCAGGTTCTGCAGGTTTGCATTGGGCCCCAGGGTCCTCATGGAGGACGGGTCCTCCCCGGAGCCCATCTGCTCGTACATCTGTTTGTTCAGCTCCAGGATGCCTTTGGTCCGTGCCAGGTTCTGGAGATGCTGCCGGAACGCAACCAGACCTGACAACATAGTTAGGAGTCAGGGGATTTTAGCATCCAAACTAATCGTTATAACCCGGTTCCCTTGTATCTATCCGGCTGAAATTACATAGCTATCACTTCTAGCCTACTTCCTCCACCACCTGCAGGGAGAGTATGTACATCATGAGTGTGTGTATTGGTGGTTGTAATAAAACCCATCTCCGGCTCCTAAAAGGCAGGGTGACTGTTCCTGACAACGTGAACCATGGGACCTGACTCATCCTAATGATAAGGCTATATAAAGATTTGAGAAGCTTCTCCATGTCTCCCCCCTTGCAGCGGCATGCAGAACCCAGCCGCTGATTCACTGACGTTTCAAACAGACATTAGAAAGAACTGGAGCTCTGGTGACTCAAAGCTCCTGCTGGGTGTGTGTGCAGACTGAAGAGGCAGCTGGGGGAAAAAACAACACACACACACATACATCTCCTGTATATACATTTTAAGCTCTCTATTAATTGAGTTACTTTACAGGGTGCTTCTGCTACGGAAAGAAACATTAAAACAGAGCTATGTGGGCCACACCTTCAAAGTGCAGTCTGATTCACAAAATGAATCATCAGAGAGAGAGAAGAAAATAAAATGAAAGAGAGCCAATTTTCAGCTTGAAAAAGAGTGTGAATGAAGCTGGGAAGAAGGAGAGAAAGATACATGAAGAACGAGATGGAGATGGAGACTGGTAAAGATCGAGAAAGAGACAACTAGTGGATCTCACCTTGTGTGAGGGAGGTGTCTGAGGCGCGGCGGCCCTCCCTGAAGCTGATGGGCGAGCGGTTGTGGGCCTCTCTCCTCTGGGAGCTCAGGGCCTGCATGGTGGGGTTGGGGGGCCGCTGGCTCATGAAGGGGCCCTGGGTCACGTGGGACCCCGAGCTGTGGGTGTTGGCCAGGACCACCTCGCTGAGAGAGGGGGTGTCCTCCAGCAGACCCAGGTCACTGTGCAAGGAGCCCATGTCGTAGCCCATGTCAGAGTCCACGCTGCCCAGGGACGGGTTGTGGCCCATTGTGAACAGTTTACCTGTTGGTTCATAGCAATATAGGAAAGCAAGGGTTCATTGCCAGTACTACTGGTGGATTGGATATTGCTCTAATTAGGGTCACAGGTTTTTCCGGGTAGGGCTGGCACAATTATCATATAAACGTGTAACCGACACTATGGACAATAACCGTGAACAAAAAAAAAACTATATTTTTTGTTGTTGTCATAATTGTTTTCATACATTCATGTTATGATAAGAGGGGATTCAACTTTATATTCAAGTTGATATAGTTTACCCAATTTAAATTTTTACATGAAGTAGGTAAAGTTACCAATCATTTTACGAGCAGAACGGCATGGTCGGGAGGAGACGCTTAACTTCCAAAAGTTTAATGCTTTCAAAACCAATAGTTACTGAGACAAGTGTGTCACTAGAGCTTTGTTGTAGAGTCTCCCGAGTGGCGCAGTGGTCTAAGGCAGTGCTAGCTGGTTCGAATCCAGGCTCTGTCGTAGCCGGCCGCGACCGGGAGACCCATGGGGCAGCGCACAATTGGCCCAGCGTCGTCCAGGGTAGGGGAGGGAATGGCCGGCAGGGATGTAGCTCAGTTGGTAGAGCATGGCGTTTGCAACGCCAGGGTTGTGGGTTCGATTCCTACGGGGGGCCAGTATGAAAAATAAAATAATGTATGCACTCACTAACTGTAAGTTGCTCTGGAGAAGAGTGTCTGCTAAATTACTAAAATGTATATGTTGTATTCATTAGGTATGTGATAGCAAATGTTCAAAGATGCATTCAAATGCATTACAAGCTAAAAAATTTAAATTAAAAATATACAATTATGAATATAAACGTGGCCATTTTGGCCGTAGCCAAAATTCCATAATCGTCACAGCCCGTTTTCCAGGTAAGGTCGCTGGTCAGGAAAGATTCCTGAGGGGTACAGTGGGGAAAAAAAGTATTTAGTCAGTCACCAATTGTGCAAGTTCTCCCACTTAAAAAGATGAGAGAGGCAACATTTGAAAAAATATTCCAGAAAATCACATTGTAGGTTTTTTTATGAATTTATTTGCAAATTATGGTGGAAAATAAGTATTTGGTCAACAACAAAAGTTTCTCAATACTTTGTTATATACCCTTTGTTGGCAATGACACAGGTCAAACGTTTTCTGTAAGTCTTCACAAGGTTTTCACACACTGTTGCTGGTATTTTGGCCCATTCATCCATGCAGTTCTCCTCTAGAGCAGTGAGGTTTTGGGGCTGTCGCTGGGCAACACGGACTTTCAACTCCCTCCAAAGATTTTCTATGGGGTTGAGATCTGGAGACTGGCTAGGCCACTCCAGGACCTTGAAATGCTTCTTACGAAGCCACTCCTTCGTTGCCCGGGCGGTGTGTTTGGGATCATTGTCATTCTGAAAGACCCAGCCACGTTTCATCTTCAATGCCCTTGCTGTTGGAAGGAGGTTTTCACTCAAAATCTCACGATACATGGCCCCATTCATTCTTTCCTTTACACGGATCAGTCGTCCTGTTCCCTTTGCAGAAAAACAGCCCCAAAGCATGATGTTTCCACCCCCATGCTTCACAGTAGGTATGGTGTTCTTTGGATGCAACTCAGCATTCTTTGTCCTCCAAACACGACGAGTTGAGTTTTTACCAAAAAGTTCTATTTTGGTTTCTTCTGACCATATGACATTCTCCCAATCCTCTTCTGGATCATCCAAATGCACTCTAGCAAACTTCAGACGGGCCTGGACATGTACTGGCTTAAGCAGGGGGACACGACTGGCACTGCAGGATTTGAGTCACTGGCGGCGTAGTGTGTTACTGATGGTAGGCTTTGTTACTTTGGTCCCAGCTCTCTGCAGGTCATTCACTAGGTCCCCCCGTGTGGTTCTGGGATTTTTGCTCACTGTTCTTGTGATCATTTTGACCCCACGGGGTGAGATCTTGCTAGGAGCCCCAGATCGAGGGAGATTATCAGTGGTCTTGTATGTCTTCCATTTCCTAATAATTGCTCCCACAGTTGATTTCTTCAAACCAAGCTGCTTACCTATTGCAGATTCAGTCATCCCAGCCTGGTGCAGGTCTACAATTTTGTTTCTGGTGTCCTTTGACAGCTCTTTGGTCTTGGCCATAGTGGAGTTTGGAGTGTGACTGTTTGAGGTTGTGGACAGGTGTCTTTTATACTGATAACAAGTTCAAACAGGTGCCATTAATACAGGTAACGAGTGGAGGACAGAGGAGCCTCTTAAAGAAGAAGTTACAGGTCTGTGAGAGCCAGAAATCTTGCTTGTTTGTAGGTGACCAAATACTTATTTTCCACCATAATTTGCAAATAAATTCATTAAAAATCCTACAATGTGATTTTCTGGATTTTTTTCTCTCATTTTGTCTATAATAGTTGACGTGTACCTATGATGAAAATGACAGGCCTCTCTCATCTTTTTAAGTGGGAGAACTTGCACAATTAGTGGCTGACTAAATACTTTTTTCCCCCACTGTATATTACAAAGCATGATCAATGACTTAGCCAGTTAACTTTCCAGAATATTCTGAAATAAATAAAAACATTAAGAAGATAAGCATGAAATGGACATGGTCCAATTGCCTCAACAACCAAAACACAACACACTACGTTTAGCTTTCTTAAATGAACCAGAAAATCTATTGTAATTTCTGTTTGTTTATCAAAGTTAACTCGTTGATCCTGCTTTGTAGTTTACCCCTCTGGCATTAGCTACATATAATAAATAAAACCAGTCTATCCACTCATTCATCCATCAATAAATGTGGTGCGTTTAAAATAATTTCCACTGGAAGCGCACATTTTCAACATTCACAAACGCAATACTTGCTGGCTTAGCAGAACAACAACCCATCATATGAACACAGCCCTATTTCCCCTATCTAGCCAATGGCGTATATGATTCTCTAATGTCCCAGAACCTTGGTTCAGTTCTGACCTTGGTTGATGACAGGGCCTAGCTCGTTAGTGACCTCGGAAAGGGTGTGTCGGCGCTGGCCGAAGCGGGCCGTCTGGAAGGCGGAGAAGAAGTGGGCGGGGTCGGCCTCGGCGTCGGGCTCCTCCGTCTCTATGCCCTCGTCGATGGATGTCTCCATCATGTTACTGGGTGACGACACGCTGGACTTGCGCAGCACTGTGGGGGGCAGGGGGTCCAGCATGCAGCCATTCACCTAAAGGCAAAGACAGGGAGAGGCACGGTGAGTTGCTTGCTGGAAAAATTCATTTACCTTAATCCATTTATGAAATGTATTTATGAAATGTACTTCACAGGGACAGTACATATTAATCATTATTTCCCTTTCCACATCAATGCTCAAGTGTCAGGTGTTAGCAAAAGAGCTAATTTTCATCCATACTCGCTATAGAGTTGAGGATTGAACTGGGTTTCCAACCCAGACTCTCAGGGCATTACCTCTAGGGAGCTAACGTGAGTTTCCAGCACCCAGGCAAGGTTACTCATCATACGAGAGGGTCTCACCTAAACACCTCCGTTATACTTGGCTCTCCCCATTTTAGCTCCATTCCTACATCTCTACGGACGTGAATGGGACCTCCTCCTCTGTCCCACACACAGACACGCACGTCCTAAGAGGGTGAAACCATTCATCAGGACATGGCTCCTCTCGGTTAATTCATGACCAGGCAGCTTCCCCCTAATGTACACATCCAGAGGGTCCTCTTTACTTGTGTTATTGGAGTGGACAGCTCTGGACCTACAGAAACATACAATCTACTGCAAGGTTTGGGGACTGGATGGGTAAACAAAATGTGTCTGCCATTTCTCTCTCCCCCTCTCTTTCTGTCCTGCCCTCCTTTTCCCCCCGTTGCTCAGACACTAGGAGAGGGGAGGAGGGGTGGAAGTCTGGAATGCATGCACAGGAAGTGTACTTTGGCTGAAAGCGCAGTGAGAGACTCTCGCACAGACACAGGCACACTGAGACACAATCAGGCTCGCTCATCAAACACACACGCGCACGCACACACAATGTCTCTTGCTCACACAGTGTCTCTCTCACACACAAATGTCTCCCTACGACACAAATCTCTCTCGCACGCACACACTCTCTGTGTCTGTCAGTCTCTCTCACACACCCCTCGCTGACACGGATCATCTGGATGAGTTGCTGGGGAAACCAGAACCCTGGGCTCCTCCAGTCAGAGCTGCTTTGTACAATTCCTGATCCCAGTTTCCTGAAGCGTGCTGGGCCAGGAATGCTGCCTGTTACTCAACGCACTGGGGAGGGAGAGGGGCTGGCTGCTCGAACCCAGGCCACACCAGGCTATTACCGCACACTGCCCTAGTGCCTCGTGTGCATCCAAAAGGGCACACTATGCCCTATTTAGTGCACTAGTTTGACCAAAAGTAGTGCACTAAATAGGTAACAGGTTGCCATTTGGGATTCATTCTTTGATTTAATTTCTCGGAAGTCTGCTCTTACACAGCAATTTTTTTAATGAGGGTTAATATATATTTTTTATGAGGGTTAATATATATTTTTTATGAGGGTTAATATATATATTTTAAGTATAGTTTGTCAGTTAAGAAAAAAAAAAAAGGTTGTAAAAGTGATAAATAACGCAGATGTTCAAAACACAGCAGCAAGCAGGGGAATGGTAAAGCCTGGCCAGGCTGGAAGAAAAGGTCACAGTCTGGCATAGATAAAGACAGACACTTAGCAGAGAGGGAGGAGGGGAGTGAGATGGAGAGAGTCTGGGTCCAGACCTGCAGGGGCAAGAGTACAGCCGATGTCACATGGGCCAACGCTAAGTGTGCATGTGCTCCTAGTGTGTGTTTGTTTGTTTGTGTGAGGGGGAAAGAGGTCTCTAACTGTGCCTGAGCTGTAGAGAACTGGCAGCTGTCACGTCAGATGTGTGGCCCCAGCCAGACAGACAGATAGAGGGGACGGACGGGGCTGAGTGGAGTGGCTTACGTAAACTAGCGAGGGGCAGCTGTGCCTTGCCTGCCGTGCGGTTACTGTCAGAACCAGCCAGCCCAGTGCCTCAGCCTTAAGGACACATCCCTCCTTTCCCCCCTCTGACAACCAGGCTGTAGCTAGGGCAGGGTGCACAGACAGTGTCCCAAATAGCACCCTGTTCCTGGTCAAAAGTAATGCACTATATAGGGAATTTATGGGCCCTGATCAAAAGTAGTGCAGTATATAGGGAATAGAGTGCCATTTGGGATGCAGAAGAGAGAAAGGGGCCCAGCCAAGTAGCATTAGCAGCAGGTGCCGGTCAGGAGGGGTCCGAATAGGACAGGGGATTTGAACTAAGTTAACACACAGACATGGTCATGTTCCCAGCTTATGTACTCTACTGTGGAGCCCCGTCCTCAGTGAAATGTGAGTCAGAGCTCTTTCATAACATAACTGTGACGTATACACCACCATCCATCCAATGGCAGCCTATTCCCTATAAAGTGCACCACTTTTGACCAGGGCCCAGGTCAAAAGCAGTGCACTACTAAACAGGGAGTAGGGTGCCATTTAGGATGCAGCCTCAGTCGGAACTAGCTAGAAGCTCTCACACGGTATAAAAGGGGGTAAGAGGAGACTGGAGCTGGACTGTGTCACTCCTCCGCTGATTTTGTGTTGTTCTATTGAGTGCCAAACTGGCAACGCTCCCTTCTCTCGCTGCCTGGTTATGGGGTGTTGGGGACAGCCTTGAACAAAGAGCCCCCTGGGGAGGGAGGGAGGAGGAGGCAGGATGAGTGGGCTAAACCAAACAAAACAAAACAGACAGACAAGAGTCCCCTCTTGGATAACTCAGCAGCAGTGGCCAGTCGGGGTTGGGGTGGCCTGGGGGGAGGATCGGTCCTCTGTAGCGTCACCACTGTCCTGTTGCAATCAGTGCTCCATGGGGTCGTGTTCAGTTGGGAAAAAAAGTTTTCAAAAGTTTTCAAACAGGGGAGGTACTCCCTGAGTTTGTCCAATAGGAACCTCAATTTTCGTTTCACGTTGCAATTTGTTTTGCTACGATGTCCCCTAATGAGCACGACCCAGATCTGTTCCCACATGACACTGATCACATGTGTGTTTCTGTGCAAACATAATGTTTATAATTTGTATATCAGAATTGAAGCGTGAGTCTGAAATGCCAATCCATTTGATGACACTCCTTTATGGTTTTCTTCGACTTCCAAAATATGAGTATATAGTTACATATATATATTACATATATTTAATATATCAAAACGCTTAATTCCACTAACTTCAATAGCGTTATCCAGCTGGAAAACTGGATAACACTCCACATAGTGGGTGTCTACAGGCCGGGGTGCTTCGGTTCAGAATAGCTCGTAACCTTAGATGACATGGCGCGACTTGTTTGGTGTGGTGACTTACTTTAGGAGTGGCCACGTCCTCGACCATGAAGCTGTGCTCGGGCAGAAGCGGCGACTGTGGGAAGTTGAAGGCATCGATAGAGGCTTGGGGCAGGGCTGGGGAGTGTAGGAGACCCCGCACCCCCTGGGGCAGGAGACCCACCTGGGGGGAGCCACCGCTCAGCTCGCTTGGCTGTAGGGGAGATATATGGAGGGGTACAGAGAGAGCGAGAGAGAATGAAGGAGGAAGATAAGGAGAGAGACAAGAGAGAGAAAGAGATCAGGAAAAAAGTTGGATAGAGAGAGAATCAAAGAAAGAGAGGAAGAGGGTGAATGGAATGGATAGAGAGAATCAAAGAAAGAGGAAAAGAGGGAAAGGTAACAAAGAGAGAAAGAGAGAAAAAGGAAGAAAGGAAATTTAATGGATAGAGTGAGAAAGACAAAAAAAATGGAAAAAAAAGAGAGAGGGCAGTGAAAGGAAGAGAATATATGTTTCATTTATCAATGAATACATGTTCTTTGAACAGCCAGGTGTGTGAATGTAAATGTCCTTGATAATTACGACCACAGACACCCATACTAATACACCACACAGACAGATCTACTTTGTGACGCCGAAAACCGGCGACGAAGACAGCGGGGGTTACCTTGACGACAGTCTGCTCGGCGATGGTGCTGGGCCGGCGCTGGCGTACGTCAAGCCGCTGCTCCACAGGGAAACTGCAGCGGTGGGCCTTGAGACGCTCCACCAGCAGGTAGTAGATAGCAGCAAAGTGGTTGTAACTCTTGTTCTGGAGAGACTGGAAACAGGAAGGGACACACCATGTTAAAGCTGCAATATGTCACTTTTTGGGCGACCCGACCAAATTCACATAGAAATGTGAGTTATAGATCTGTCATTCTCATTGAATGCAAGTCTAAGAAGCTGTAGATCTGTTTTATGTGCACCATTTCTATGCCTCCCGTTAAGTTTCGTTTTTGCATCTTTTACTTTCGGTTTGGTACACAAGCTTCAAAACAGTTGAAAATACAATATTTTTGGTTATGGAAAATATATTTATTTCACAGCGGTTTAGATCAGTAGTTCCCAACAAGGGGTACTAGGACCCCTGGGGGTACTTGGCCTTTCCACAGGGGGTACTTGGGAAGACTCATGAGATCATAGGCCTTCTGGTAAAATGCACGAGCGGTTACTCTGGACAGAGCAAAATTTAGTTTGTGGAACAGTAACCGAAAAAAGTTGGGAACCACTGGTTTAGATGGTACAATGATTTTCTACACCAGGGGTACTCAACTCTTACCCTACGAGGTCCGGAGCCTGCTGGTTTTCTGTTCTACCTGATAATTAATTGCACACACCTGGTGTCATAGGTCTAAATCAGTCCCTGATTAGAGGGGAACAATAAAAAAATGCAGTGGAACTGGCTTCGAGGTCCAGAGTTGAGTTTGATGGCTCTACACGATACTTGCTTGTTTTGTCACATAAACTGAAATTAGGTGAACTATTACAATTTTAGCAACGAGGAAATGGCTGAATGATTACTGCATAGTGCATTTTTAAAGGGATAGTTCAGTATTTTATATCTTGATGTCAGATGGTTCCTCACCCTGAAAGTAGTCTATGGACCAGGATAAACTGTAATCCATGGTTAGGTTTTCTTGAAACAGCCACTACATGTAGGGCAGCAGGTACCCTAGCGGTTAGAGCGTTGGCCCAGTAACCAAAATATCGCTAGTTTGAATCCCCGACAAGGTAAAAAATCTGTTGATTTGCACTTCAGCAAGGCACTTAACACTAATCGCTCCAGGGTCGCTGTTGATAATGTCTGACCTTGGCTGTGACCCCGCTCTAAGTTGGGATATGTAAAAAAACATTTCCAAATCGCACATGCGTATAATACAGACGTGTACATGTGTCAAATAGGACAAATATAAGCACCCACCAAATGTTTATTATTTTATTATTACAAACTTTAGCTAACTTTAGCCACCGCTAGCTAACAACCAATGGAAGTAATAGGGGCAATCGTGCAAGTAAAACATGAAAAGTTCTGGGACCAGAGTGATGTCTAGAGAATCTATGAGGGAATTTGTCACCCAAAGCAACTTACATTCATGCGTGCATACATGTTTCAGGTAAAGGTGGCCTCGGTAATCTAACCCACTATCCTGGCATTGCAAGAGCCACGTTCTATCAACTGAGCTACAGAGGACCACACCTGTATTAACATTAATACTCATAATAGGGTGTCATTAGAGATACAGCCAATATTCACACTGGCACACTACTTTGAATCAATGCACAACACATTGCTCCATTCTCTTTAGTATGCTAGTGTAAAGGGCTGGTTCCAGGCATAAGCGACCAAAAAAGGAACTCAGTCTGGGTCTCAAAATTGTGTTGTTTTGCCACGAGGTGGGGGGCAGTCCAACCAAATCTTGCTTAGGGCCACCAAAAGGCTAGTGTAGATATTGTCTGCGTCCCAAATTGCACCCCTATTCCCTTACAGTGCACTACTTTTGACCAGTGCCCTATGGTCAAAAGTAGGGCACTATATAAGGAACAAGGCACCATCTCTCTCTCGGTCATCTCTCACCTCGATGGTCTTGTGTTGGTCAATGCCCAGGCTGTGCATGAGCCGTAGAACCTGCTCGCTGTACTCGCCCACACCCAGGTCGCCCTCCTGCTGGTACAGCATGGGCCTCTGCACCGGCACGTCCAGTGCCATCCACTTGTGCTCCTTGATCTGGGCCACCGACAGACGTTTGGACGGGTCCAAAACCAGCATCCGCCGGATCAGGTGCTCGCAGTCTGGGAGAGGAAGAGGAATAAAGATGGAGACAGAGAGAGAAAGGGGAACAAAATCAAAATGTACAACCCCTGGTACTCAGAACCATAACCGAGAGCCCTCGCTTCAGACACCGTCTGATGAGAGGAGAGTGTTCTCCTTACACATTTGCCCCGACACATCAGGCCATACACAACAACACGCAGCCCGGGACAGTGGTACTGTGTGTACCATGTACCGAGAGTTCCGAGGGAAGAATAGCCCCCATTTGAGTGAAGAGAGCGCTCCGGCTGAAACGTTACGTTGGTGGAACAAAGCGGTTCTAAATGACTAAAATGTAAATGTATTGAAGCAGGGCCGGCCACAGGGAAGGAGTGAAGGAGCACCTCTACTACTCATGCTAAGAAAAACAGATGAGCTCAGGCAGGAATGCAGAGCAGGCTCTCCCCCCTCTCGGTTTTCTCTAGCCCCCTCCCTCTTGTTCTCTTTTTTATCCCTACCCCTCTCATTTTTTCTCTCTCTCTCCTTCTCTCCTTCGTCCTCCCTCTCCCTCTGCACCTCCCCCCTTCTCTCTCTCGGAGGAGGATGGAGAGGCCTCTTAACCTTCAGTTAGCAGCTAAATGAGCTTGACGTCACCAACCGCTGGGTCTTAACAGGATTACTGCCCACTGGGCTGAGGCTGTGCTGTTTTGTGCGTTTGTTTGTATCTGTGTGTGTGTGTGTGTGTGTGTGCATTCAGACCCCTTGACTTTTTCCACATTTTGTTATGTTACAGCCTTATTCTAAAATATATTACATTGTTTTTCTCCCTCATCAATCTACACACATTACCCCATAATGACACAGCAAAAACAGATTTATAGAAATGTGTGCACATTAATTAAAAATTTAAAACGGAAATATCATATTTACATAAGTATTCAGACCCTTTACTCAGTACTTTGTTGAAACACCTTTGGCAACGATTACAGCCTTGAGTCTTCTTGGGTATGACGCTACAAGCTTGGCACACCTGTATTTGGGAAGTTTCTCTCATTCTTCTCTGCAGATCCTCTCAAGCTGGATGGGAAGCATCGCTGCACAGCTATTTTCTGGTCTCTCCAGAGATGTTAGATCGGGTTCAAGTCCGGGCTCTGGCTGGGCCACTCAAGGACATTCAGGACGTTCCCCGAAGCCACTCCTGCGTTGTCCTGACTAGTCTCCCAGTCCCTGCTGTTAAAAACACCCCCACAGCATGATGCTGCCACCACCATGCTTCACCGTAGGGATGGTGCCACGTTTCATCCAGACGTGATGCTTGGCATTCAGGCCAAAGAGTTCAATCTTGGTTTCTTCAGACCAGAGAATGTTGTTTCTTATGGTCTGAGAGTCCTTTAAGTGCCTTTTTGCAAACTCCAAGCGGGTTGTCATGTGCCTTTTTACTGAGGAGTGGGTTCCGTCTGGCCACTCTACCATAAAGGCCTGATTGGTGGAGTGCTGCAGAGATGGTTGTCCTTCTGGAAGGTTCTCCCATCTCCACAGAGGAACTCTGGAGCTCTGTCAGAGTGACCATCGGGTTCTTGGTCACCTCCCTGACCAAGACCCTTCACCCCTGATTGCTCAGTTTGGCCGGGCGGCCAGCTCTAGGAAGGGTCTTGGTGGTTCCAAACTTCTTCCATTTAAGAATGATGGAGGCCACTGTGTTATTGTGGACCTACAATGCTGCAGACATTTTTTGGTACCCTTCCCCAGATCTGTGCCTCGACACAATCCTGTCCCGGAGCTCTACTTACAATTCCTTCGACCTCATGGCTTAGTTTTTTATCTGACAACTGTGGGACCTTATATAGACAGGTGCGTGCCTTTCCAAATCATGTCCAATCAATTGAATTTAGCACAGGTGGACTCCAATCCAGTTGTAGAAACATCAAGGATGATCAATGGAAACAGGATGCACCTGAGCTCAATTTCGAGTCTCATAGCAAAGGGTCTGAATACTTATGTAAATAAGGTATTTCTGTTTTTTATTTTTAATACATTTACAAAAATGTCTCAAAACCTGTTTTCGCTTTGTCATTATGGGGTATTGTGTGTAGATTGATGAGGAAAATGTTTTATTTAATCTATTTTAGAAAAAGGCTGTAACGTAACAAAATGTGGAAAAAGGGAAGGGGTCTGAATACTTTCGGTATGACTGCTCTGCTGCCGAATGAGCACTTCTCTGGCAGAGAAATCCAGCAAGAGAGAGGGATGAGAGAGAGAGAGAGAGAGAAACTATGCAATCCACATTGACCCTCTTCTTTTCTCTTGAGTACATCATGACACCATCATGGAAATATTCAGGGCCGTTTGGTTAACACTTCCTTTCTTTCGACGGTTAACATTTCTGTTACACAAATCCCCTGGGGCCGCTTCGATACCGAGGTCAAATAATGTATGGTCCTGGGATGTACAGTACTGGAGGTAAAACAAAGTAGTGTACTACCAGTACAGCACTGCCTGATTTGTTATAGAGAGCCTCTGTACTGTCCCGTACAGTGTGTTTATGTGTGTGTGTATGTAGCAGAGAGTGAGAACATGTGGGGAGGAAATATAGGAGGAAACGACAAGGGAATAGGACTGGAACGGGATGGGAGGCTGCAGGCAGGAAGGGGAGGGGGCTGCAGGCAGGAATGGGAGGGGGCTTAAGTTACACTCCTACATTCTCAACATGGAATAAATAGTTCCCTGAACAAAGCATGTTGGCCCACAGAACCCAGCACCCCCCATCACCCCCACCCCTAAAGGGGGGGCTGGCAGAGCGGGAACTTCACTGGCTCTTCCCCAGGTTATGTAAGCACAATGACTCTGGCTCTCTCGGACTAGAGTTCATCTCACCAGGGTGGCGTATAGTGTTAGCTCTAACCTGACATGCTGACTTCTCTAGCTTTGAAGCACAACCACCACCAAACGGAGCACTGTTAGGATCTCTTAGGCCCATATTCATAAAGTAGGAGTGCTGATCTAGGGTCAGTTTAGCCTTTTAGATCATAATGGAGAAGATGTAAGGTACATGGACAGAGGGGACCTGATCCTAGATCAGCACTCCTACTCTGAGATGCTTTATGAATGGCTCTCTCTTGTCCCTCTGCAGCAGACATATGGTGAACAATATGTTTGGAACATCGAATTGCAATAAAATCACAGTATCATGATAATATCGTATCGTGAGGTCCATGGCAATTCCCTGCCTTAGTAGTAAATGGGTTCCATTTTGGACAGGTGTTTTGAACAGGTATTTATGCCATGCTGGGCAGTTGAGCCTCACTTCAAAAGCGGTCTATGCTTTCCCTGCATGCCAGACCCCAGTGCATTGGTGAGACACAAGAGAGTGGATTCTGAAGCGCTCCAAGCAGCCAGTTAAAGGGGTAATCACGGATTGGTACATATACTGAACAAAAACACAAACGCAACATGTAAAGTGTTGGTCCCATGTTTCATGAGCTAAAATAAAAGATCCCAAAAATGTTCCATACGTACAAAAAGCTTATTTCTCTCAAATGTTGTGCACAAATTTGTTTTCAATCCCCGTTAGTGAGCATTTCTCCTTTGCCAAGATAATCGATCCACCTGACAGGTGTGGCATATCAACATTTACATTTTAGTAATTTAGCAGACGCTCTTATACAGAGCGACTTACAGTTAGTGAGTGCATACTGTTTAATCAAGCTGATTAAACAGCATGATAATTACACAGGTGCACCTTGTGCTGGGGACAATAAAAGGCCACTCTAAAATGTGCATTTTCGTCACACAACACAATGCCAAAGATGTCTCAAGTTTTGAGGGAGCAAGCAATTGGCATGCTGACTGCAGGAATGTCCACCAAAGCTGTTGCCAGAGAATTTTATGTTCATTTCTCTACCATAAGCCACCTCCAACATTGTTTTAGCGAATTTGGCAGTATGTCCAACCAGCCTCATCTGCAGATCACGTGTAACCACGGACCTCCACATCCGGCTTCTTCACCTGCGGGATCGTCTGAGACCAGCCATCCGGACAGCTGAAGAAACTCAGGAGTATTTCTGTCTGTAATAAAGCCCTTTTGTAGAGAAAACCTTATTCTGATTGGATGGGCCTGGCTCCCCAGTGGGTGGGCCTGGTGAATTTATTTCAATTTACTGATATCCTTATATGAACTGTAACTCAGTAAAATTGTTGAAATTGTTGCATGTTGTGTTTATATTTTTGTTCAGTATACATTTTTGGGGACTTTTAAATGAACAATATATAGCCATTGATTCGAGGAGGTTATATTTCTGTAGCCCTATCCCTCAGCTGTTTACCAAAACAAGTGGTGGGGTGACCACTTTGTTGTTTTTTGTATCTCCAATTGCCCCTTTAATGTCCTCTGCTGGCATCACCAGTGAACAAACCCCATTCCAACAACAACAACACAGACTGCTGTTTGGCTTCGGATTATGTTTTTCCATAGGAGCCATGGTGTCACTTCAGGCTTTTTTGGGGTGAAGCACTATGTTATTCACTCTCACCTTCTGTCATGAAGTAGGGGATGCGGAAGCGACCCTCCAAGACACGCTGTCGGAGCACGGGCAGGGTGGGGCCGTCGAAGGGCAGGGCGCCACACACCAGCACGTACAGCACCACCCCCATACTCTACATTGAGACACACAACCACGCACGCGCACACGAGCACAGCCAGACAGACGGACAGACACACACACACACACACACTAGGTCAGGGGCTGCTGTGGGAAAAATCCTTACACTCACATAACTAGATCAATGAGGTACAAAGGCACCCAGATGTATGCGAGGGCGAGTTCAATATGCCATAATACAGGCAGGGCTATAAAAAGAGGTTGGGAAATCTTATGATCTCACATGATGTCTTCAAGTCGCCTTTGAAAAAGAGGGTAGGTAGGGCTATTTGGTTTATGGCAAGACATCATTCTCATACAATTATCACTGACTAGGGTTGATGATTCACAATCATATCCCCGACGCAATCAGGTCAGATATCTTTTTTTTTATTTTTATCCCACCTTCTCTCAGTTGAGCACCTTGGCTGCATCCCAAATGGCAACTTATTCCCTATATAGTGCACTGCTTTTGATAGGGCTCTGCAGATCTTTGCCTCGGCTTTGTCTTTGTTTAATCTGGTTGGCCTCACTATTGCTTCTGATGTCCATGATTACATTAGGTCCAGTGTCAAAGACAATGTACAGTCAGTTCTGGGACACTCCGTTGGTATCACCAAGGGACTAGTTAGCAGTATGTGTGACTCATCGCAGAGCAGGTGTGTGAAAATGGCACCCTATTCCTTGTATAGTGCACTACTTTGGAACAAGGCCAATAGGGTACTATTGAGGGAATAGGGATGCCATTTAGGACGCAGACAAGAGCTTTGTCCTACCCAGATGTCCAGCTGGGGCCCCTCGTACTGTTGTCCCTCGAACACCTCCGGAGCGGCGTAGGGGGGGCTGCCACACCACGTGGCCAGGGGCTCCCCGGGCTGGAAGAAGTTCCCAAAGCCAAAATCTAACAAACGGAAGAATGACACGGTTAACTTCATATTATTACCCACCTTCACCTTGACTCAAACAAACATACACTGGGTTGAGTTCTTCTGCCCATAGACTGTATGGAGGGTTCTGCCTGGGCACATTTGTCTGGCTGACTGACTAAGTGAGTGATGGGTGGTAAGAGGTGAGGGAAGGATGGGGACGGATCGGAACAGGGGGAGATGCAGACAGAACAGTGAGTACTGAGCGCGAGAGAGAGAGAAAGAGAGAGCAGACGTGTCAGAAGGTGGCTGATTCACAGGAAGTCAAGACAGATTGACTACCTGTAGCCTGTGGCATAGGGGGGGGCTTTAACGCTAGCTCCAGATTAGAACATGCAAACGTGTGTGTGTGTGTGTGTGTGTGTGTGCACGCATGTGTGCGCAAGGAGCGGGGGTGGTAGCTAAAGGGGCGGAAAAATATTCCCTGCCCAGCAGCACCTGTACATGCTAATCTGTTTACTACATTTAACAGCAAGTTTAGGCTCCCTAAGATTCTGTTCCAGCAGACAAACAGAAGAAATCGAGATGTTCCAATCAGGAACAGGGATTTAACTGTGTTTTTGTCCTGCAAAGAACACTATATATAGGCCTATTGCTTTTTTATCATGGATTAAAACCGCTTTAACTACACTGCTCAAAAAAATAAAGGGAACACTAAAATAACACATCCTAGATCTGAATGAATGAAATAATCTTAAATACTTTTTTCTTTACATTGTTGAATGTGCTGACAACTAAATCACACAAAAACTATCAATGGAAATCAAATTTATCAACCCATGGAGGTCTGGATTTGGAGTCACCCTCAAAATTAAAGTGGAAAACCACACTACAGGCTGATCCAACTTTGATGTAATGTCCTTAAAACAAGTCAAAATGAGGCTCAGTTGTGTGTGTGGCCTCCACGTGCTTGTATGACCTCCCTACAACGCCTGGGCATGCTCCTGATGAGGTGGCAGATGGTCTCCTGAGGGATCGCCTCCCAGACCTGGACTAAAGCATCTGCCAACTCCTGGACAGTCTGTGGTGCAACGTGGCGTTGGTGGATGGAGCGAGACATGATGTCCCAGATGTGCTCAATTGGATTCAGGTCTGGGGAACGGGCGGGCCAGTCCATTGCATCAATGCCTTCCTCTTGCAGGAACTGCTGACACACTCCAGCCACATGAGGTCTAGCATTGTCTTGCATTAGGAGGAACCCAGGGCCAACCGCACCAGCATATGGTCTCACAAGGGGTCTGAGGATCTCATCTCGGTACCTAATGGCAGTCAGGCTACCTCTGGCGAGCACATGGAGGACTGTGCGGCCCCCCAAAGAAATTCCACCCCACACCATGACTGACCCACCGCCAAACCGGTCATGCTGGAGGATGTTGCAGGCAGCAGAACGTTCTCCACGGCGTCTCCAGACTCTGTCACGTCTGTCACATGTGCTCAGTGTGAACCTGCTTTCATCTGTGAAGAGCACAGGGCGCCAGTGGCGAATTTGCCAATCTTGGTGTTCTCTGGCAAATGGCAAACGTCCTGCACGGTGTTGGGCTGTAAGCACAACCCCACCTGTGGACGTCGGGCCCTCATACCACCCTCATGGAGTCTGTTTCTGACCGTTTGAACAGACACATGCACATTTGTGGCCTGCTGGAGGTCATTTTGCAGGGCTCTGGCAGTGCTCCTCCTAGCACAAAGGCGGAGGTAGCGGTCCTGCTGCTGGGTTGTTGCCCTCCTACGGCCTCCTCCACATCACCTGATGTACTGGCCTGTCTCCTGGTAGCGCCTCCATGCTCTGGACACTACGCTGACAGACACAGAAAACCTTCTTGCCACAGCTCGCATTGATGTGCCATCCTGGATAAGCTGCACTACCTGAGCCACTTGTGTGGGTTGTAGACTCCGTCTCATGCTACCACTAGAGTGAAAGCACCGCCAGCATTCAAAAGTGACCAAAACATCAGCCAGGAAGCATAGGAACTGAGAAGTGGTCTGTGGTCACCACCTGCTAAACCAGTCCTTTATTGGGGGTGTCTTGCTAATTGCCTATAATTTCCACCTGTTGTCTATTCCATTTGCACAACAGCATGTGAAATGTATTGTCAATCAGTGTTGCTTCCTAAGTGGACAGTTTGATTTCACAGAAGTGTGATTGACTTGGAGTTACATTGTGTTGTTTAAGTGTTCCCTTTATTTTTTTGAGCAGTGTAGTTTAATAGGAAGGAGAGCTGCAGTGCGTTTAGAAAGTATTCATACGCCTTGACTTATTCCAAATTTAGTTGTGTTACAGCCGGAATTCAAAATGGATTCGATTGATTTGTTCTCACCCATCTATACACATTACCCCATAATGACAAAGTGAAAATATGTTTTTAGAAATTTTAGCAAATGTATTGAAAATGAAATACATACATCTCATTTACATATGTATTTACACCCCTGAGTCAATACACGTTAGAATCACCTTTGGCAGCGATTACAGCTGTGAGTCTTTCTGGGTAAGTCTCTTAAGAGCTTTCCACATTATTCTTTTTTTAATTCTTCAAGCTCTGTCAAGTTCGTTGTTGATCATTGCTAGATGGCCATTTTCAAGTCTTGCCATAGATTTTCAAGCCAATTTCAGTAACAACTGTAACTAGGCCACTCATTCAAAGTTGTCTTGGTAAGCAACTCCAGTGTATATTTGGCCTTGTGTTTTACGTTATTGTCCAGCTGGAAAGGTGAATTTGTCTCCCTGTGTCTTTTGGAAAGCAGACTGAACCAGGTTTTCCTCTAGGAATTTGCCTGCTTAGCTCTATTCCGTTTATTTATATTTGGAAAATGACAAGCGTATCCATAACATTATGCAGCCACTACCATGCTTGAAAATATGAAGAGTGGTACTCAGTGATGTGTTGTGTTGGATTTGCCCCAAACATAACGCTCCCTTCCTTCTTTTCACTCATTTAGGTTAGTACTGTGGAGTAACTACAATGTTGTTGATCCATCCTCAGTTTTCTCCTATCACAGCCATTAAACTAACTGTTTTAAAAACACCATTGGCCTCTTGGTGAGATCCCTGAGCGGTTTCCTTCCTCTCCGGCAAGTGAGTTGGGAAGTATGCCTGTACCTTTGTAGTGACTGGGTGTATTGATACATAATCCAAAGTGTAATTAATAACTTCACCATGCTCAAAGGGATATTCAAAGTCCACGTTATTTTTTTAAACCGAACTACCAATAGGTGCCCTTGTTAGAAAACCTCCCTGGTCTTTGTGGTTAAATCTATGTACGAAATTCACTGATCGACTGAGGGACCTTAAAAGATAATTGCATGTGTGGGGTACAAAATCACATTTTAAATTCAGGCTGTAACATAACAACATGTGGAAAAAGTCAAGGGGTGTGAATACTTTTTGAAGGCACTGTATATGTACTGTATTTTTGACAAACGTTAGCCTACTAATTGAGAAAAGTGTTAGTGTACATGAAATAAGGCAGAATGTTACAGGAAAAAAGTGTAATGAACGGATTCAGTCATATCTTTGGATCGTGACTATCTTCTATCCCTGGAAGCAAATTATCTATAGTTTTTATCTCTGCTTCCATCTAACAAAACATGAGTATCAGGAGAAGTGCAACATAAGGACAGACTACCAAGTATCACACATACAGTTGAAGTCGGAAGTTTATATACACTTAGGTTGGAGTCATTAAAACTCGTTTTTTCAACCACTCCACAAATTTCTTGTTAACAAACTATAGTTTTGGCAAGTCGGTTAGGACATCTACTTTGTGCATGACACAAGTACTTTTTCCAACAATTGTTTACAGACAGATTATTTCACTTATAATTCACTGTATCACAATTCCAGTGGGTCAGAAGTTTACATACACTAAGTTGACTGTGCCTTTAAACAACTTGGAAAATTCCAGAAAATGATGTCATGGCTTTAGAAGCTTCTGATAGGCTAATTGACATCATTTGAGTCAATTGGCGGTGTACCTGTGGATGTATTTCAAGGCCTACCTTCAAACTCAGTGCCTCTTTGCTTGACATCATGGGAAAATCCAAAGAAATCAGCCAAGACCTTAGAAAAAACATTGTAGACCTCCACAAGTCTGGTTCATCCTTGGGAGCAATTTCCAAACGCCTGAAGGTACCACGTTCATCTGTACAAACAATAGTCTCCTAGAGATGAACGTACTTTGGTGCGAAAAGTGCAACTCAATCCCATAATAACAGCAAAGGACCTTGTGAAGATGCTGGAGGAAACAGGTACAAAATTATCTATATCCACAGTAAAACGAGTCCCATATCGACATAACCTGAAAGGCCGCTCAGCAAGGAAGAAGCCACTGCTCCAAAACCGGCATAGAAAAGTCAGACTACGGTTTGCAACTGCACATTGGGACAAAGATCATACTTTTTGGAGAAATGTCCTCTGGTCTGATGAAACAAAAATAGAACTCTTTGGCCATAATGACCATCGTTATGTTTGGAGGAAAAAGGGGGTGCCTTGCAAGCCAAAGAACACCATCCCAACCATAAAGCACGGGGGTGGCAGCATCATGCTGTGGGGGTGCTTTGCTGCAGGAGGGACTGGTGCACTTCACAAAATAGATGGCATCATGAGGAAGGAAAATGATGTGGATATATTGAAGCAACGTCTCAAGACATCAGTCAGGAAGTTAAAGCTTGGTCGCAAATGGGTCTTCCAAATGGACAATGACCCCGAGCATACTTCCAAAGTTGTGGCAAAATGGCTTAAGGACAACAAAGTCAAGGTATTGGAGTGGCTATCACAAAGCCCTGACCTCAATCCTATAGAACATTTGTGGGCAGAACTGAAAAAGCGTGTGCAAGCAAGGAGGCCTACAAACCTGACTCAGTTACACCAGCTCTGTCAGGAGGAATGGGCCAAAATTCACCCAACTTATTGTGGGAAGCTTGTGGAAGGCTACCCGAAACGTTTGACCCAAGTTAAACAATTTAAAGGCAATGCTAC